TGCTTTTATACAAACTTCGACTTCAGTATTACAATAATCTCATCTGGACTCAGCAACATGCTATCACGAATTGCCAAGAAGTGTGCAGGCCTCCCCGGAAATAGATATTCTTTTCTTGTTAGCTCTCTGAGGAGGTACTCAGGAATTGACCTCGAAAAACCTTGTCAGGAGTTGAATTTTATCGACGGTCGTAGGCAAAATCCTGTCAGCAGTGAAGGTGAACACGAGATCTATATCATGGAGCCAGCCACGGGAAGGATTCTCTGTGAAACGCATGGATCGGGAAAACCTGAAGTGGATCGCGCTGTTCAGTCAGCAAAGGATGCTTTCAATTCGTGGTCTGCGATGTCGGGGATGGAACGAGGGAAAGTTCTGCGCGAAGCTGCTACTATTATCAGGTCAAGAGTAAAGGATTTAGCGACAGTAGAGGTCACTGACAATGGTAGGTTGCTTTTTGATAGCTGTTATGTGAATGCAATTCTGGGAAATCAGGTACTTTCTCGGAAATTATCTGACGTTACAAGATAATCGTAAGTGAAAGGTACGTGTACTATCGAAGGAAAGAATGGAATGGAATGGACTGAGATGAACTGGACTCCGTTGACAGAACTAGGGACCCCAGGTTTTCTTGTTTCAGGAATGTTTTTACATATTTGTTATTAACGTTCTTATTTTCATTTTCAAATTGTGCCTCTAAACAAAGGAAGCACTTTGTTGCAAAAGCTATTCATAGCTGATTAGAGTGGATATGTCACAGTTTCTATACCATACCTGCCAACTCTCCTGGTTTTCCAGGGAGCCTCCAAGTTTTTCATCAAATCTCCCGGGAAATACCTACAGCTGTACCATGCCCTTATTCAAAATTTTTTCATTAATTTTGTTATTTTTCCAGATGTCAAAAAGGAAAATAGAAAATAAAAGAAGAAGTGGATTTAGTGCTCTTATTTTAGCTGTTCTCAATTGGAAAACGTAAAACATATTGTTAACGTGTATCGTAATTGCTCAGAATTCAACCAATCAAATTGCACAATACATGGTAGAAAGTTGGCACAGTTTTCGCCTGCTGTTATCTAGGCTGAAAACATCTGGAAGACCTTTGGGTAATATTTTGGAAAGTATGTCGAAAATTACATTCTTAGTACAGTGCAAAGATTTCTAGACATCTCCAGATTTTTGTACACCGGGGGTTCACAGGTGTGCTATACCCTGAAAAATTTAGCCCAAATTTCTCTATCCATGTTAAATTTCTACTTCCTCCTTTCTAAATCATCCTTAATCCTTTATTTAGCAATTATTGGTTGAGTGTAGTATAACAAATTATGCATATTGAGGGGGTTTTCAGCTTTAGTGAACACTCCCTTAGTTGATCAGATCAGATTAGATCAGATCTGATCAACTGCTGTGACACAATGACAAATGGTTAAAGTTAGTACTTGGTTTGATCCACCCTTTTCCAATACACATTTTGTCAACAGCCTCTTTATGCTATTTTACCAGTCAAAGTGTATAGTTGCTAGATATACCAGCTATATATCCATGACCTTTAATCTCTATCATTTAACCTCATATTTTTCCATTCTCCCCTTAGGCAAAGGTTTGGGCTAAAAGGATCATAAACTCATATATAATTATGTTCCCTTACTGGAAGCAACAGGTTGCTTGCTTGTGAAAATAGGCATAAAAATGTATCTCCTATAGAGTGTTTTCACTGTGACATTGTCAATATAGTGAGGCCCTCTGAATTCTTATGTATACCAGGTTGTAGGGAACCGAAANATAACAAATTATGCATATTGAGGGGGTTTTCAGCTTTAGTGAACACTCCCTTAGTTGATCAGATCAGATTAGATCAGATCTGATCAACTGCTGTGACACAATGACAAATGGTTAAAGTTAGTACTTGGTTTGATCCACCCTTTTCCAATACACATTTTGTCAACAGCCTCTTTATGCTATTTTACCAGTCAAAGTGTATAGTTGCTAGATATACCAGCTATATATCCATGACCTTTAATCTCTATCATTTAACCTCATATTTTTCCATTCTCCCCTTAGGCAAAGGTTTGGGCTAAAAGGATCATAAACTCATATATAATTATGTTCCCTTACTGGAAGCAACAGGTTGCTTGCTTGTGGAAATAGGCATAAAAATGTATCTCCTATAGAGTGTTTTCACTGTGACATCGTCAATATAGTGAGGCCCTCTGAATTCTTATGTATACCAGGTTGTAGGGAACCGAAAAATGAATCTTTGTAGAATTTTTCAGCCCTGTAGTGTCTTCTATTTTAAAAATGTGACACCACAATGAGTGGTAGCCTCAGCAAAGATGTCTGGTTAAAGAAAGCTATCTTATTATGATTTTCGGCAGATGTCAAAATGGGAAATAAAACAAGAAGTGGATTTAGTGCTCCTATTTGAGCTGTTCTCGATTGGAAAATGTAAGGCAGAGCAAGCAAATTGATATATATTTAAGGAGTATTGTAATTGGTCAGAAATCAACCAATCAAATTGCACAATACATGGTAGAAAGTTGATATGGTTTTTTGCACTCTGTTATTGACATCAGGAACATTCGGAAGGTATTCGGGATATTTTCAGAAAGTATTCAGACCTTGAAAAATGGACATTCTTACAACTCAAAGATTTCTAGATGTCTCCAGATCTTTGTACTCTGGGGGCTGGCTGGTATGGGTGTCCCATCATGTTGGTATCATGTTGACACCATGTTGGTGTCCCTGATGTTGGTACACCAGCAGAGGCCCCGCCAGGGCCTGCCATGTCTTATGTCGGGTTTATAAATGCTTCACGTCGCTGTCAAGAATTGAATGAAAATTCTTTTCTTGGTCAGAATTTTAGAAAAGGGGGATAGTGATGCATTATAAAGAAACCATTACAGTTCTGCAATTTCTCAGTTAACATTTCTCATATCAAACACCTATACATTGCCATTCACAATTAACACAATTCATAGGAGGGTCCATTGAAGCTCACTGACAATAGATGCTCTCTGTAGCGCAAGGTGAATTGACAAAAATTACTTCGTCCTGTCGCAATTTGGCTAAAGGTAGGTAATCTCTTGTCACAATTTCATTTTACACTCTGTTGCTACTTTTTGAGTCATGTCGCTTGTTGGAATTTACCCTGGCAGGGCCTTCCAGCATGGCATCCCCATACACAGCTCTCTAAATTTGCGTGAAACATTTTGGTAAACAACTAAGAAACGATGTGCTGCACAGACCTGAGACTTGGATATGTTGTATATTTATGAGTCTTCTGTAGCATTTCATTTTCTTGGCTTCTTTCATGCAACAGTTTCAAAGTCATTTTTTTCATTGTGTGACAGTGAAAACACTCTATACCAGTAAAGGACCTCAGTTTGGTCAGGAGACACTCAATCTGCCACACTGTGCATGATATGTATTTAGTAGTTGTGTATCATGAGTGAAAAGAAGTATGCAGACCCTGGTGACCCTTGAGATTAAAACTTATACCCAGCAGAATTTAAGGAGGAGTGAAGCTCTCTGAGTCTTTCTAATAAATGATAATGGTAATACTTTTATCTTTTACACTACAGGGAAACCATTTCATGAAGCAGTATGGGATATTGAAGGTTGTGCAGATGTTATTGATTACTATGCTGGTCTTGCACCTACCATCAGCGGAAAGCACATCCAGCTTCCTAATGGGAACTTTGCTTACACTAGAAGAGAGCCATTAGGTGTTGTAGCAGGTATGGTACAGACTTGAATCTTTATTCACACTTAAGCAACTACAACAACAACAAACAATAATCTTTTTTTTCCTTGTTTCAGTTTTACAAAAGTGCGCTGGCCTGCAGGTAGCTAGCTAGAGCTATTTTTCTATTATCTTGACGGGCCAGTCAATTTGCGTGTCCCCTCGAAGGGAATAATTTTACTATTTTATGTGTACATGTTTATCTAAATATAATGCAGAAGGATATTTATACAAAGGAGAGGAAGAATTTACCGTACGTATAAAGGATTTGCAGTAAATATAGTTTAACAGGAAAAGAAGGCCATAGTATCAATTCATACTCTCGTTACTGAGGATTTTTCCTTAGAAATGGGGCACGATCCATTCAACCAAAATTCCAACTGGTCTGACCGGGAAAAGTGGTCCACCTCAAAAGGTGGACCCGTTTTTTCGAAACTTTTCCGGTTGGACCGAACCGATCCATTCAGTTTTGGACCGAAATGTCAGGAAATTTTGGTTGAATGGATCCTGCCTATGATCTACAGTGTACCTCAACTGCCTCAATCAAGATACCATCCCATAATTATCACATTTCTCTGCAGTCAAAGCACTATAGTTAAAACTTATCTCAAGACCATATTGTTTTTCATTTTATTCATTACCACTCTAACAATTTTTTTTGTTCTTTGCTAACATGCATGCAGGCATTGGAGCATGGAACTACCCATTTCAGATCTGTACCTGGAAATCAACTCCAGCACTAGCTTGTGGGAACACTATTGTGTTCAAGCCCTCGCCACTCACCCCGTTGACAGCTATCTTGATTGCTGAGATATTCACTGAAGCGGGACTTCCCAATGGAGCCTTAAACATTGTTCAGGGCGGAGCTAGTACTGGCCATTTGCTTTCATCACATCCGGATGTAGACAAGGTTTCATTTACTGGGTCGGTGCCCACTGGAAAGAAGGTGAGGATTAAATATATAGAAGCTCCTAATTTTATTTTACACTGGTGATTATTTTTCCGGTTAACCCACTTAAGCTCTGGTAAATTTTGCTGAGTAACATGTTTGAGCTGTTTTCTGGGCATTGTCTGGCTTAATTTAGTGTCAAAACTGCCCAAACTACTGCTTATGATGAGTCAAGCATTTAGCTTTTTTGACCATCTGTGCCTATAGATGCAAAGTGTTTTGCATGGGCATGCACAGAAAACACGATTTTGCTATAGTCTTTGGGTTTGAACTCCTCCCCCCCCCCTTTTCTTTCACTTTTCTATGCCCCATTTTTTGTTGTTGTTCTGTTTGGAATTTTCCAGGTGTCATTTTGGTACAAAAAGTTTTAGGAAATTTTTTAGGATTTGTAGGATTAGAGGGAAGAAAGTGTAGGAGGGTAGTGGAACAAGATTTTCATTGGAATTTTTGGGTCCAATTTTTATATTTTTTCCATTTTTCTCCAGTCTCCTTGACTGAATTATGCTTATTCTGGCATATTGTTTGAAATATCTCTTCCTCCTGCATGTCAAGTCAGATGACAAAGTTGTCCTTGACCATTAAAACTGATGATGTCACAAGTGGTACAAGGGATGTGGATTGGCATGGGTGGTTAGGGGTAGTTCAGGCAGTTCATGGGTTAAGAGTTAACAGGGCCATCCTTAAAACAAAGCCTAAAGCAACTGGGTGAACATGTGAGATGGCTGGGTTCTGAACTCAAACCAAAGCTGTAGATTATGGCAGACAAAAAAGTCAACATTTATTTTCATTGTATCACTGCTTTCTCCTTAGGTCATGGCAGATGCATCCACAGGTATAAAACATGTCACACTTGAGCTGGGAGGAAAGTCTCCACTGCTCGTGTTTTCTGATGCTGACCTGGAAAATGCTGTTAAAGGAGCCATGATGGCAAACTTTCTTACTCAGGGAGAGGTATGTTTCTTATCCCTATGAGAGTCAAATCACGTAAATTATAGTGGTAATGTTTGTGAGATTTCCTTTCTTATGTAAATTTTTATTGAAGTATATTTGTTACAGGTCAAAATTATATTCATAATTATATTTATATTTACTTGATGCTGACAGGTCTGTTCTAATGGAACCCGAGTATTTGTGGAAAAGAGCATCTTAGATGATTTCCTCACAAAGTTGGTTGAGCGCACTAAAAAGATCCGAGTTGGAGATCCCATGAACCCAGATACTCAGATGGGTGCCCTAATCTCTGAGGAACATCTTCATAAGGTGTTGGAGTATGTGAGAATAGGACGTGAGCAGGTATGTGACCTTTGACAAAATTATTATTATTAGGGGGGTGGTTAAAACAATTGCACTCAACAATTACCCTAGTGGGGGAGGCTCACATTTTTGGCCTAAATGGATACCGGTATGTGCTGCTGAACAGGGTATGTGCATGTGTAGGTTGATGATGAGTGGTCTTCATAATTATGTGGTACCAGCAAAACTAAGTTAGTAATGTAAGTTTGAAATATTACTTAATCCTGTATGTAACATGAAATGTATCAGGGTCATAAAATAACACCTCATGCCTTTAACAAGATAGCAAAATGAACCATTTTTGTCTTAAACAGGATCAGGGTTTGAAGGCCTCATCGGCACACCTCTACCCAAACTGCCCTTGAGTGCCCCTCCCATCCCCCCTCCAGGACAAGGAACCACCTTCTCTTGGGTTGATAGGGCTCTACGAGACACCATCCACTTAACAAGCCCTTAAAAATAGGCGGAAATTGAAAGCTTACTTTGCCAGACAAACCGATCAGGGGGCACAAGTTATATCTTAAAAGGTGTGTGTTTGCCTTTTAGGGTGCCAAGGTTCTTTGTGGAGGTGAACGTGTTAGACTTGATGACCACAGGTTGGCCAATGGGTTCTACATGTCACCCTGTGTCATGACTGACTGTACAGATGACATGACCGTTGTCAAGGAGGAGATATTTGGTCCTGTCATGACTGTACTGTCATTTGACTCTGAAGAAGAAGCCATAGCAAGAGCCAATGACACAGAGTTTGGGTTGTCTGCTGGGGTCTTTACCAGGTACATTATGTAGAACTTATATAGGTATTGTTGTGCGTCATATCAGTGAGAAACAAATGATGGCATGGAGAATTAACTCTGGAGTGATAATTTAAGTGCCATATTTACCTCCCAACCTTATCTGAGTCAAATGCGTGAGTTTTTCGTCTTGTCATGACCGGCATTTCCGAAACGTCCCCGCGACGTTCGCAGATTTCCGACGATTTGCCGAAGACTTCCGAACGTTGTCGAAAATGTCCGAAGATGTCCCGACGACCTTTGAGCATTTGCAAAGCTAAGTTATTATGAAGTTTTCGTTATTGTTTTGTATTTCAGTACTCTATAAAATTATAGACTTTATGTATCCTGATTTTGCAGAGATCTTGCTCGTGCCCATCGCGTTATCTCCAAGCTTCAAGCGGGGTCTTGCTGGATCAACAATTATAATATGACACCAGTCGAAGTGCCTTTTGGTGGTTATAAGATGTCGGGCGTTGGCCGAGAACTAGGTGAAGACACCATTGATTACTACACACAGGTCAAGTCAGTTTATGTTGAGATGGGGGATGTTGAGTCACCGTTTTAAAATGTGTCATGGTCGTGTTTATAAGAGTCAATGTGCCGTGAAATTGCGTATACAGCCCAACGATTAAGAAGAAATTACGCCTTGGATGGGTCGATTTAGTTTTTTAAGAGATATGATTTTAGACTTTTACTCAGCTAAGCAGCTACTCAGCTAAGCAGCAGAGCATCAAGTAGTCTTGAGATTACTGTTGATTCTCAGAAGACTGTATTGCCCACTACAAATCGTCTTCCCTTCCAATGGGAGTTGGTCTTTTATCTTTCTGGAAAGACCGAGGGCGTACAAGCGCCTCTTGTTTGTAAGAATTTTATCTGCATATTTGATATCGGGCCCGAAAAGTTAACGGGACTCTTGAGAAACGGGCTCCCGGTCATAATGTTGCCCCCGAAATAACAAGTAAAGTCGTGAACGCGTGCCCTCTCCATTTCTCATGTCATATAAGGACGTTCGAGGCGTGAATCGTAATAGTCTGCTACACAGCCGTTTTTAGTGTCGTCACGCAACGCTCCTCCCCACTAGTGGGGAGGAGCGTTGCGTGACGACACTAAAAACGACTGTGTAGCAGACTAGAATCGTAACAGCTGAATGGCAATCAATCCTGTTATAAAAAAAATAAACTTTAAAAGCCAATTGGTTCGATACGTTAACCCTGAAAAATGGAAATATTGATAAACAAAAGACCAATTCCGATATATTAAAAGTCATACTTGGCTGCGAAATGAAGAAGAAATGTATTGTTCATTGCTGAGTCTCAAGATGATTTCTTTTGTTTTATTCCCCAAGCCTCGAAGCCAAGTATGAATTTTGATATATCGAAAATGGTCTATTGATGTGATATTGTTTTCTGCGACCAATGAGGAAACACCTTGCGAGCAGCTCCTACATCACTGGAACAATGAGGTCAAAACAATCATACTCTAAAGTCAGTTTTATTGCATACGGTTGTCAATACAAGTTCGCTTTATCTTCCCAGAGAAAGAACTTAGTGGGAATTAACGAGGATTGTCAAATTAAAGGAAATAATTCAGAATACATTTTATCCATCCTATATGAAAGTAATTAAAAGCTTAACTTATCACTTTTTACATTGCATTTTCTTTTAACTTATTTCTAAACTTTGATGTTTTAAAAATATTTGATTTCAATGAATGATGCGTTATTCAGTCTAGGGTTTACACTCACTGTGCGTTCGTTTGGGAGATCTGGATTTAGATTTCGGATTTCCAATCGAACGCGAAATCCGAAAACGGATTTTAAACCATGAGAAATCTGTCTATCCGTTCCATGAAGAGACATCCTCGGTTCGTCACCGTGTGCTTATAGCTTACCTTAACATTTTTTTGCTTATGATAAACCGTTTGTGTTAATCTGCTGTTGACTAAGAAACTTGCCTGGTTCTAGCCTGCGTAGCAAGCGTTTCGCACGAGTTCGTCGAGAAAGTTGAGACAAGAGCAAAAAAGAGACTCCCGCTCTTACCGCAATAACTCGATTGGAAACGCTTGCTACGCAGACTAGCCTGGTTCCTGCTCATTCTCCATCTGTCACGGTAAGCGTGATCTACGCGTAAGATCCTGAGAAACGATTGCGTTTTAGGAATGGCAAGCATCACGAACGCGCCCTCACCAAAGAGCAAGGAAAAAAGTCTGAACGCTGAACCATAAGAAACCTCAAGGATTCAGACACTAGACGGCGTAAAATTGACAACCTGGGGTACTTACCATTGACACGGGGAAACCGGAAATTCCTATTGGAAAATCAAATGGTTCGAGTCATTCCGTTTGGGAAGCTTCTAAAAGTATGAGCTGTTTGTTTCAGTGAGGCGATGCAATTTCTATAATCTAGTCTACTAACTATTCAGCTGATTTGGATATGCTTTGTGGGGAGTTCTTACACCTCAAGATCAAATTTAGTTGTTGGTTCGTGCAAAAGGTAAGTATCCCTGGACTTCTTCGAGGCCGTTCTTGAAATTATGTTACGACGCTGTTTTTAACTAAAAGCCGCCTGTTAGCGTTCTATTAAACATTTAAAAGAAAATATTGTAAAGAAAAGTCAAGCGCATTTCGGCTTGATACGATTCGCACTTTTTGACATTCCCTTTAATTTCTTGTTCTGGATAATTTTTAAAAATTATTTGTCTGTGTTACTTTTTTCCGTGCTAAAACCCTTATTGGAAAAAGCAAGATCAGACGAAGCTGTTTTCTCTGGTTCATGTTGCTCCTTTTCGAGGCCGTTGAAATTCGTCAATTTTAAAATCATCGCAGGACTCTCTGGGGTGGGGTTAGGACAAGATTCGTCTTTATGATGATCTGTATCACTGATGAAGCCAGCGAAGAGGAAGTAGCCCAGGCCCGCTCCGATTATAACGGAGATCCCAAGATAAACCTGATACGTCATCACCACCAGCATTAGTAGGTATCCCAGCGCCACATGCAAAATGTGCAAGACTGTTTGTGACAAGTGATGCGAGCTGCACATGGTGATCCTATAAAAAATGAACATGGTCAGGTCGGTGATCGGCAAAGTTGTTGTACCCAGCCTTTGTTTCTCATTATTACGATTTCTGACGTCACAGAGGTTCACTTATAAAGGTCTCTCTGACTTACTTGGCTAGATTATTGAATACAGTGTTAATAAGGTCACTAATGGGCAAAAAAGAAAATTGGCCGTATTAACGGGGTAGCCTGCATAACAGGTGCTTTATGAGCCAAGCGAGGCAAACCCGGCATTGCGACACGCGCGAAATGCCGCGTTTGCCTCGCTTGGCTCATAAAGCGCTTGTTATGCAGGCTAACGGTGTGTAGGTATAACCGGGGCTGGCTCAAATTTCTTGCCGTAATGACAAATACACTGTACATCACATTCACCGTACTGTTCTCATTAATAACCAACTGGAATGTAGATATCGCGTTCAGTACTTGAAAAAACTACTTAAAATTTCCCTTCAGTACATGAAACTCTCTTAAAATTCGGCTATAAATAGCCACGAGTGCATTTTAAGTGTACTGTAGTCTAAAAACAGTACAAAAATAAGCTCAGATTTATACTAGGTCAATAAATTGACATGTCACAGGCATTATAATTTTCTAAATTTGGAATTAGTGGCCGTATTAACGGGGTGAAATTATAGGAGATTCTACTGTTTGGGATTTTAAAATGTGGCCGTGACCGTACTAAGACTACTAACGGTTTTTTTTAAGGAAATGTATGGCCGTTTTGCCGGGCCCTAAAAGACGTAAAAAGCTGGCGGTGATACGGAGGCCACCGTAAGGCGGGGTTCCACAGTAGATAGTTTGGGCTGTCCACTTGACTGCAGAACGGGAGGTTGATGTTTCCATTCTCGGGGCCAGACCAATACTCAGGGTCTTAAAGTAACTGAGAATGGAAGGTACTCCCTGGATTGCAAGTGGCTAGACCGGCCCTCGCGTGGCTCGGATGACCATGTAAAATCGCGGGTCCCGTCTCCATTTGGAGACTTAAAAATAGTGTCCCCAGTTAGTACTTTCGTAATTAATACATCAGGGACACTCAAATACAGTGTCTACCTTTCAAACTGGAGCCTGGTTCGTAAATGCCTTACAATCGATCGCTAAAGTGAATGAAAGTCAGCTGTATCTGTAGGAAAACTTGGTCTACTTATGTCAACGTATGCTCGTTATTCGCAAAACTCCAGCTTTCATCTATTTTCCCTGGGCAAACTTCTCTACTCTTACAGTGAACGCCTGCTAGTATTGGAAAAAGACTTCATTTTTCGAATTCCTTCCCATGGCTTCCCGGAAACTATGTTTTCTCGGTTTCTGAGGGCATGAAATCTAGACAGGAGTCAGGCTGTTTTGAACGGCACCACGTAACACGAAAGTGTTACAACTTCCATAAAGCATTTTAAAAAATTAATAATTATCTTTTTTTTTTCTATATTAAAAAAGAATTTTAGATTTACTCCAGCTATGCTCCAGCTTAGCTTTGAAACATTGGTCATTCTCACATCTCTCATAATACACATTGTTTGCCCCTCCAAATTTTGCATAACCGTTGTTTTATATTTCTCTTGGGACGACTGTTATACCCAGTAGAAATAATAAACAAAAGTTATGTTTTGTTTTGAAATTCTACAATTTCTTAAAAAGTGACCTGCTTTTCGCGCGGGTCACTTTTGACCGAAACCGGAAACCGCGCATGAAAAACCTCTGGCATCCAGGGTATGTATCCTGTAATTCTAAAGCAGTTTTTTGTGTTGCTTCTCTGTGAAATGTAGTATATATAGTAGAGGATCAAAAATGAGTTGCCGTGGCAGTACGCCAACAAAGCCTGAGCCTGCTCCTCGAAGAGGGAATAAGCCGAAAGAGCTTACCAAAGGCTCTGACGAAATCCTGAAGACTGTACACCGTCAGTTCGTTTGGCCATAGTTTTGTGCCTGTCAATCAGTTTGGCTCTGAAGATCTTCAGGCCTTCATAGAAAATTGAAATGAACAGCACTGCAATACACGAGCCAACCAACACTGAAACGGTAAAAAAATATGAAATGAACCATATACTAGTACTAACCAAAGGATCAATCCGAATTTAAACACGTTTGGTCTGATTCAGTGAGGCTAAAGTAATATAAAGTAAAGACCCCATTTAGAAACCCAGTACTGATTTTGGGGTAGTATTGGTCACTTGTGGCAATTGAGTGACATATGAATTATCATCTTGTATAGCGTTTCGGGTCCAGTTATTAACTTAAAGGTGCTTAAGTAACGACGGCGACGAAGGTAACGAAAACTTCTCTCAAAAAGTGAATCTATCTCTCATGTTGTTCAGTTTGTTAAATAATGGTGAATTCGGACGTTTTTGCCGTCGTCGTACTGGTTGTTGAACCCCCTTAATGCGAAAAGTCGACAAACTCGAGCAGAAACGCTTGCTACGCAGGCTAGATTTTCAGAAACCATGAAAGACATCAAATTTATAAATTATAATTATATTAAAGTATGATATTTTTCTACCTTTTGTTGATGAGATATCCCATGGTTCAAACAGAAGATTGAGATCACTTCTGAGATGAAACATCATCTGAAATTGATCGACGCAAATTAACTTTGTTATAGAGGAATTTTGTCCATTCACTGTGAACTAAACTAATGTACCGCCCATATGTACTTTGTATTGGGCTGAAGAAACAACCAAAACCAGTGCAATACATTTTACTGAACGGCACTTGAATTCATAGAGCGTTTTCAGTGATAAAAGCCAAGTGATACAACTGGCGATAAATCTGTCATTTTGGATTTTTGCGAAATGAATTTACGTAAAACAATAACAAAGGCAATAAAAATATTTACAAAATCTAAAATATATGAAACTCATGTTACTGCTTAAAAATTTCTAAAACACTCTAACAATTTACATAGATGAGCAGTTTTTCAAAACACATATACCCATTATATTGATGTATAAAAGGGTTGAAGTGGGGTCTTTTCACTATAGAATACCCATCCTCGTCCCCCAGGGATCAAGTTTTCCCCTACCTAAAGCCCTAGGGATGAGGTTGTAGAGCACATTCCAGGGGAATCCTAACGACTGTTTTCTGTAAAATATATATCTGTTCGGAGAAGCAAATATTGCCTAGAATTTTCTATTGCTTGAATACGGCTAAGAATTTCTTGATGAGCGTTCCATTCAGGTACAATTTTCGAAGCTTGCCTCAAAAATTCCCTAAGATTTTCTGAAGTTCAATTTTTCATATTTTACTCCTTATGTTAGGCTAATTTTCGTAGAAAAAGAAAATCTAAAATTTTCGGATTCAAAAATGTGATGGAGAGAGGAATAAGAAAATTCTCACTTTCGTAAAAATTTTCGGGAAAATAACACGGAAGCCCTTGAAATTTCGAAAAGCCTCAAGTTCCCCTAGGATGACTGAACAGATACAAATTTTATAGCGCCGCTTAGAATACATTTCTAGAGATCTAAAAGTACTCTGGATGGCCTAAAACGTCTTTTCAATGCATTTAGGAGGGAACCATCAAGCTCCTCACATCGCGTACCGTAAAATTAAAACCTTAGCTTTAAAATATTTTGTATAGCTTTTGCATGCCTCTTTCGTTTGACGTATTGGTNTGTTTGTAAATCGTGGTCTCCCGCATTGTTCACTCGGACTCCACCCAGTCCGATTACCATTACAACATTACTATTGTCAGCCCATTTCCTGAGAAGATGCGAAAAGTTATCAGGGCTAATCTCGAATTAAAATTTTTACACAGGATTGTATTTACTGTCCTTTTGATTGTTTCAGAGTACCTTTCTGCGGCGTTATCGTGAACTCGGAGCGAAAGGTCAACGGTAGACAATTCTATCCCTTCAGTTACATTTTCATAGACAAGAACTAAACTCATGGATTCTTTCGTTAGTTTCATTTTACATCATGATTCTCTGCAATTTGGCTTAACAACTTTTGATGAACCGGGTCCAATGTTATGCGAATTAATCTGAGCTTACTATACTAATCTCATCCACCACTTTAGCCAATACTCCTGTTCATACAACTTTTTATTACCCTTTTTTCGATGCAATGACAGTTTTTTTTGCCTGATACTGGAAATTAAAAGTCGAAGATAAGGCTTGCTCGATACTGTTTATCGTTGTCTCCTATATCTAGATCTCATTTTTCGGCGTTTTGTTCATCTCAGGCTTGAACGTTAATGAAGAGTCACCGCAGACGGGTCTCCAAATTGAGAGTGATTTCGTCTTTCATTGATCCTATTCAAATCTTTTATTGCACATATTTCGCCTTTTGTGGACCGCATTCATATTTTTAGTTTATATATTCATAATAGTGTATTTTTTATCGTTTTAAGTGTATTTTTTAATTTTTATTATCCTATTAACATTTTTTACTCGGCCTCATAAGCTGTATTGGCTTTAAAACCCACGTGTTTAAATAATAAATGTTTTTTGTCCCTTTATTTCTCTCCCTTTCGTGTGCTCGGCCGTATGTTTCGGATACGTCATCGATATTCTGTATGACCGTGAAGGCCTACAAATAGTGATATACTTGATAAACGAGATCCTTTTACTTTCACGCGGTAGGTCAATATTAACACAACGCAGAAATGTACCAAGCCGTCTTTGAAATACCGTTTGTAGATTCGTGAAATATCACTGAAAAGTACTGACGAAGGATACTAAAAAATAGAGCAACAAGAAACTCAGTGAAAGTAGAGCAAAACCTTTTTACGATTCACTCTGACGTGAGTAATGGTGATATGAGGACATTTTTTATAGATCAATGTTGGACGTTTTGGCTCAGTGTCATAAAAGAGACTCGCAGAATTATTACCCGGAAATGATATTACAAGTAGCCGTTAAATCGCCTTATCCAACAAACAAACAAACAAACGGTAATGTGTATCAACTGTTGTTACAGAGCTATATATTTTTTAAGAAAAATACGTTTCTCAAAATTTTTCTTATTCTGAATCAAAACTTCTCTACATTTTGGGTTTTTTTCTGAAGAGTTTTTTATTTTGTTTCCAAGTTGTTTTAAAAGACAGGCAAGGTTTTTTAGATTACAACATTTCAGTTATTTTTGTGCTATAAGATTCGCACGGAGGAATGCACATTAAATGCCATCTATATTTATCCTTTATTATAATCAATGGTTCAGTAATCGCCTTTGTTTTCAACTTGCGTCATCGATTTACTCCAGGTTCATTTCCAGCTGCAATTCCGGTTCATGTCACAAAAACAAAACAGTATACTGGCTTTTACGTCCTTGAGTTCCCTACCAGAAAAACCTCATTTTTCTGTGGGGGTGTCTTTCGACTGTATTATTTAGATCACAGCTGTACGTTGGTCGAAGATAAGGCCAATTAGGGCTAAATTTGTCGACTAAGTTAATTGATAGTTAATACTTTCGCGTGCAAAGAAAACATATAAATCACAAGAGTAATAGACATGTAGATGACTTAGATAGCACGTGAAAGAATGTGGTTATTATCAAACAGTACTCCCTCAAAGAGAGCCTTAAACATCCCATTTGGTTTGCAATGGCGTGACTGCATGTTCAATTGTTTTTAAAACTTTCTTTTTGATGATGGATAATTTACATGTTTTCACAAATAATAAAAAAGTACTTAGCCATTCCTAATGGCGATAAATATTCTATAGCAAATTTGCATACCCGAATGATTTAAAAAGAGATAAAAAAAATGAAATGACAATCCAACGTTGGCTGTTTAGTGGAAGTAGCGATCTAATTGCATTGTATGTTCTACTTTTCGAGATTTCGAAAAAAAAGGCAATCCTTGAAAATTCGAAACTTTTCTTAGACGAATCAATAACAAACTCAGTGTGTAGATTGCATAAATGAGTAAACTTTTAGTTTATCTTTTGATGGTTTAGGTCATACTTATTGAGTACAGAATGCAGGCCAAAATGCCTTCTCGGTGCTACGATGGCAAATACGCTTTCATGCTGAAGATCAGTGCGGTTTTTATCTTTGCCCCTGTTGGGGTACCGTGTGTGGACTATGTTAGCAACGTTACTATTTTCCTCATCAAAACAGTACTCCGGTATTTCTAGTCGGAAGCAAGTAAACCCGATAGCTCTCTTACCGCATGCCCCCCCTCCATGTTGTGGTTCATCTGACCAGCGGCTCCATGAGATGCCATGGTAGAATGTTCGTTCATTTCCCCATGCGAGTGCCCACTGTGATCGTGAGAGTGCCCACTGGGAGACATTTTCGCTAAATTCCAGGACTAAGTTTCGCTTGCTGTCACAAACTAGTAGGAAGCTCGAGCTCTGTGTAATTTGAGCCTTTTAACAAGACACTCACTGATCTTTGCGATACTGTGAACTACACTGAGACGTACACTAAACAGGTATTACATGCATTTGTATTTCCATTTATGAAGACAACTTTGATATTGACCTCGTGTTTTAACGGGACCTGTATCGTCAGACAGATGACGTAAGGCTTCAACGAATGCAGTGAAATTGTCTTGTGTTGTTTTGACGATTTGTTGGTGCATATTGAAAGCCTGTGGAGAGTTGGTTAAAGGTACGTGATGTATCCCGACAATGCAGCATGTATTCCACCGGGCAAAAGAATTCAAAGGTTAACCAGAAAAAGACAACATTACTAGTTTAACGTATTCGTATTCTTTTTATTATTCTCAGTAATTGAAGGCACTTGTAGTATTGCACTTTGAATAGTCTGTTTGCCCTTTAAAGCCAATACTCACTCGTCCTTGCTTTTAACCAAGAGTAAGGCTATGTCTCTACTATATCAGATAGCTTTATATGTCTGTACGGCCCGAGACTGGAAAAAGTCGTTCAAACACATCGAATATCTTGCCGGAGCTGTTGGCCACCACTCCTAAAGATTTACTTCCGTCTCAGTGGGTTCCAGTCCTCTTTCGTACTTATTCATTTCCGCTACTGATCGAATGCCAGTTCACAATGCACCAAAATAGAGACCTGCAGAATCTAAGACGAGAACGACTACGAGTACGAGATTTAACTTGAAGTTTTTTCGCGTATTCTCAAATAATAGACACCCTGGATAGCTTCATTGTACATCTTTTTCACCAAAAAAATTTAGCACTGTTATCTTTATTGAATGAGGTTAAGCTATCTCCCAGCCGCAGAATAATAAAACCCATAACACTTTATAACTTGTGTCCGCTAACACGACATTCTCGCTAAAACTCGTAGTAGAATGACGCCTACTATCATTTTCCTACCAAAATGAAAGGTCTCTAATATGGAGATCGGCGCGGAGCAGCTTCGCCCCGTTACAGAATTGGTTATTATTTGTTATTATTTGGCTATTATATTTGCGCATGTCCACTCCAATTTATCACCACAAAGTAAAGTCGATTCTAACTGAATGTCCCTCTAAAAACAAGTTCCACACTTGCCAACAGGTGCGCAAAGTCTGGGGTGACCAGCCCAGCAACTTCAGCTTCCTTGGTACTTGAAGAACTCGGTTTTTTCGCACGCTGTGGCCTTCTTCTTTTTACTTCAATTATGGCTCCTATTCTTTAAAACCTAGGACCTAAATCCCTTCTTGGGTTGTTGGCATTTGTGGTTTCTCGATGTCTCTCTTCATCAAGCCGGTTCCGACTTTAAATTTCCTGTAAGAAACAGGTGAAAGAGACAGTTCGATAGAGGGCGCTTGAATTTGTCAATATTAACTTATATTTCATCCCGGCGATGCCGTGTGAATTTACCTTAGACCACGGGTCCCATTGATAACGAATTATTGAAAAGTTGAGAAATGATTTTAACCTGCTTCTTGGTTTGTCTTCTAATCTAAGCATTGCTTTTCTGTTATAATGATACAGTTTTAGTATTGATCCAGGTATAATGAGAGCTGTATCGCTTAAGTTTCAGTTCAACAGGATACGTTGGAATACACTAGGGTGATGATTTTAACATTTAAAGGACGCCGTAAACACTTTTAAGACCAAAAGATTTCTCACCCATTTGTTCCTTTGTAGAGCTTGAGTAACTAGATAGTCTATACAGGCAATGTTGCACGGCGCAACAGACTGCCAAGAACACTAGACAGCAACAAAATACCACTTGGAGAGACAAATCCTGATAAAAAAAGTAAAATAGTAAATAATCAGAAATAGTAATAAATAAATTAACCTCCTTTAATAAGACAATATTTTGAACCCTGGAAGTATCTCTGGTGTATCGAGTTTGCTAACTCACCAAGCATAGCACCAGTCGTATTAAAAAGTTTAGTTTTTTTGTCAGAAAATATTATCCTTGGCAGTAATAATGATGAAGTGGAAGTATTGCTGACGTCGAAAGACATTAGGGAGTTTACGCAACGACGAAGACGACCACAACGAGAACGGCACAAAAGCAATAGGTTTAGACAAGAAAAACAACAACTTTGCACGTGCATCACGCTTTTTTGTACATTTATCTGCCGTCGTTGCACGACTACAACGTGAAACTGCCTATTTTCACGTTTTCTTGAGGACGGGAACAAAAGAAAACAATTTTCTTTTTCTTTTCCTGAACTTTGATGCAGTCCTTTAGAATTCAACTCAAAAAAATTTGCCTATATTTGACGAATTAAACGAGATGGAATAAGCGCGATAAAGTTTAAGGCGGCGCAAATTCAGTTTTTAAGGAGGCAGTCTGGTTAAAAGCATATTTCGTTGATTTCCACCCTTTCTCTTAGATATATTCTAGCCAAGATTTCATACAATCAAGTTACAGTCCTTAGTTCAAGAACTGTTTATGAATTTTTGGATGATTTTTTTGAATGTTTTTGATGTGTAAAATTTAGGAGGGGGGGGGGGGGGGGGGGTT